CCAACTTTGACCATAATACAGAAGTCTGATAAAGATAACAGTTGCCATTCACCATTTTCCAAATAAGTGGTCCCATGTATTGGAACATCTACATATGTGGTGCGTGAGTGGGTTCAGGACTGAGACGCTAGAAAACGAAGCGCTCACAAGGCTTGTCTGGCCCTTCCAACCATGCGGGTACATTCATCGCAAATCCCCGATTTTTAGACAAAATGATTTAGAATGAGCAAATCTTGTCTACGCCCGAGGTAGAACATTGAATTGTGATTCCCCCATATTGTGCCAACCATCCTTCAACCTGCGGTACCACCTGCAAATGAACTATGTTGCGCTGCGGCACGCGTCCATGCTGCCTACTTCAGGGAAAACCACTGCTCGTGTTGAAGACGACATCCCACAGTGTACACGCAACAATGTTTAACGAACTAAAACAAAATTGATATCATTCAATAGACACAGATAGGCTCACAAAGTGTCGACACCATGATTGTTGTTGTTGGTTTTACTCTTGCATACAAACAAAAGTGACTTCCTCTTTCCTCCGATGTACAGTAAAACCCCCTTATCTTCGTGGCCCCTATTTCTTCTCGAATCGGTCACAGAGCACATAATCGCAGCCACTGAATTCTGCAAAATTAAAGGCCGCGAAAATTAAAGGTTCGCCAACATTAAAGAGTTTACTGTTCTTCCGTGTGTCACATGATGTTAACATTTCAAGGAGGCTGAAGGTATTGGTTTAAGAAAAAATTGACCTATAAAAAATGCCCATCTCCAGGTTAGGCACGCGAGGTTCTTTTGCACTACCTATAAGGCGGCAAGTTTGTTTCGGCAGAGCTTTTGGTTAAACGGAGTCACAAAAGTAGCTATACTTGGAGTCAACTATTTTGTGCTGCATTATAAAGCTAGAGTAAATTCCACTGTGCTTCTGCACAGCACTGCTTGTTGCGAGAGCATATGTGGTTTAGTGTTGCATCCCATTTGCATGATCTAGAGAAACTAGCACTAGCAGAGTTGGAGCACTCAAAAAAAAAAAAAAACACACAGCCGACTGTGGAAACATTGAGAGATGCACACATGCGAACTGTGCATTTCTTAAAAGTGGATTCCAGCAAAGGTAAAGACAATATGTATACTTACGGCGGCCATACTTGCCTTTCCCAAGCATGACCACTTTTCCCTCGGTAGCACCATCCAGTAAGCAACAGCAACACGCCCATGAGACGCCGCCGACTCATGGATTGAATGACGACCCGCCTGAGGTCTTGGAAGGAGATCCGGAACACTGCTTTAGGCCAGATGTGGTATCTGGAGGGGGCAGGGACTAAAAGTAAAAATTAACAAATTTATCTGAAGCGCTACATTCCTATAGCATAAACTCTAGGATAGCAGTATCATTTTTTTTTTGAGGTCAGTGATGCATTTTAATTAAACACAAATGATGAACCAGCAGCCCCTATTTTCCTTAAGTGTAACGGAGTGTCTAACGTTACGTCCGACGGAACCCGAAATAAAAATTAAAGTTACGCCCAACGTAACTGTCAAGCATTCGAGTTGCGTCCGACGTAAACCAAAATAAAAATTAAAGTTACCGTATTTACTCGAAAATAGGTCGAACCCTATTTACTGGGTCCATAGAGAATAAAAAAAAAGTAATTCAAATATAGGTCGACTTTTTTTTATTTTTAAGAACAGGGGAAATTTTGGGCAAAAGAAACAACCTTTATTTACATCACTCTCAGCTAAATCACGGGGCGATGCCAAAAACTTCATCACCGTCAGAACTTCTGGACATGTCATCGTCGTCCGAAGCTTCTTCAGCTGGGTAGACATCCTCGCGTATTCGCAGCAATACTTCACTGACACCGTTGTAAAATGACGACAGGAAACGAAAGAAGGTGCGAAGCGACGGAAGACAAACTACAAAGACGCAAGCAAAGCCGCCGTGTCGCCATGAGCAACACGCGAGCCGAGCCGCCTCAAGCAACTAACAAAAGTAACTTTTTTTTTTTTTTTTTGTGCGCGTGTGCAAGGATGGAGGGTAAAGTGCGTGGCGCATCGCGTTCCTCTCCTTCCCCGTTGCCCAGCAAGGGGAACGCTAGAGGCGCGATGTCGACATCCGACGCCCGAGGAGCGGCACGGGCCACCGCGGGCGGCGAGCCATTTCGGTTACCAAAAGCTTTTTGAAACAAGAAGCGGCGCGGCTCTACGGCAACGCCGGCTCGGTGACTCGATAGCTTCATGCCTCCGGTAGGGTCGCAAAATTTGGTCGCGAATACAGGTGTCGAAATTCTTTAGTCACAATTTCCGAAAAAAAAAAAGAAAAAAAAAAAAGGTCGACTTATATTCGAATAAACACGGCCGCGCGACGACACACACATTATGAAAGCGATTGGTGCGAGCGACCAAGGCGATGAGCGACGTTTTCTAGAAGCCCAAGAACCGAGCGGCGCAAGCAGCGGGAGTGAGAAATCTTCGTCGCTCGGCGCCGGCACTCGTAGCTTCTCGCCGTCGCTCGTCTCGTTGATCGCTATATTGCTTACATGCCGTTCAGAAAGGCGCTCTAAGTGCTTAACATTGCATTGGGACCAGCCTCGCATCCAACCGTAACCAGTCTTGACTTTCTTTAAAGCCGCACAGGTAGAAGTTAACATCGTACATACATCGTTTTCAAGCATGGCTCCTCGTTCATTGCTCGATTTACATTTGCGGTAAATGACAAACCGCAATGAAGCACAATTATTCTAGTTCAAAATTGTCACGAACACTTGGCATGCATGCTTACACAGTAGCGCACCAAACGTAATTTAAAAGTAGAACGAAAACGGGACGAGATTCGCTTACCGTTTCACGGAGACAGACGCCTTCGGATCCCAGGCCTAAAGAACTCGGAAGTCGCCGGCGGTCCGGAGATCGGACGAGGCGAGCCGACCGCGCTGACCCAGGCCGACCACACCTGGTTGAACTATGAGAGGCGCCGTCGAGTTTAGAACCAGAGACGCAGTAGAAACGGACCGCAAAACATCTGTCCCGTAACCGTAAACGAGGCAACGAACCACATCGCGCTATCTTCGCCATTGTTCGCCATCTCCGCGACGACCGGAAGTGGAAGCCGCGAACTTAGAAAAGCCGCGGCAGCGGAAGCACCGAAGCCACTGGGCGGAAGCCTTAAGTTTCGGTTTCGGTTTCGGTTTTCTCCAACGCCAGCTACGGTCGATACGGTTGCGGGCTGGTGAGTTTGTGGCTGGTTGCGAGGACGCGAGGGGCCACGAAAAGACGCCGAGTTTGCCGAGTACGAGCAACGGGCCGTTTGCCGCTGTCGACCGGCGATGCGGTATCCGCGGCTTGGTGTTACGATCGGTTTCTTGCCGTGCACGTTAACTCAAAGCTCGAAGTTCCGCAGTTCCGTTCCGGCACCAGCCGCACCACGTTTTCCGGTGCATCGCACGTGGAGTCCTTTCGACGCATTCAGTGAAAGTAAAGATCGTGTCCGCTGTCTTCGGTGCTGTGGAAGAAGTTGCGAGACGGAAGAAGCATCAAAACCAAGGCGTTTGGGACTCCAGGCCGGGCCGCCGGTTCACTCTTAACGAGAGGCGACGTGTGTGCCCACGCTTTGAGGAAGCCTCCGCGTTTCGCCGCGCCAGACCTCGCCGATCGCGACAGGACCAACCGGACCCCGAGTCCGAGAGGCTCTTGCGCAGCCAGGAACGGCACCGAAGTAGGAGCTGCTCGTTCTCCGCTACCATGCAGTGCTCTACAGTGCTCGGAGCTCTCGGGTGTCATTCGTGCTTGCACTGAAGCCATTGTGACCCCTTCGGACGCGCAAGTCGTACTTCGCAAAGGTTTGGACGGGGCCGCCCTCACCGAGCAGCTCCGCTATATTCCGCTTACTTATGATCGCAACAAAAGCTTGCGTTTGTTCTCGGGAAAAAAAATTGCGGGACCGCTCTCCGCGCCGCTGACGAGGTTGGCCGCCGCCATGTTCTCAGCTGTTCACTCGCTCCTGCAGCGAGCGCCTTGCGATTATCCTTCCCGTTCCAAAATGCGATGCGCTTTGCGCATTATGCCGTTTACATGATCATATATTGAATGCGGCAACTGGATTCAATGCGACTAAGTCGCATTCATGTAAACGCGGCTTATGTTCTTTTTCGACATACATGGTGTATGTACGATACCGGTGGTGAACGATGGACGTTTTTGGTGGAAGATGGCGGTCGTCTTTCTGCATGTATGATTTAGTTATACCGGTGGTCCTGTGGTGTAAGCGTTTGTTGGAAAGAAGGCGGTCGCCTACGTCAATGGACGCAAAATCATACCAGCCACACGGAATCATATCTGCAAGCAAACTGGCTGCCAGTATAGACAGACCCGGAGCCATAGCGGTGCCGGTATCTCCAGATATGCAGAACGCCAAACCAAACTAGCTGCATACATAATACCAAGAAATTATGTTGGTGTCATACCAGAATTGTAAAAGCGGCAGGTTTGTTTCTTGTACGTTTTTCCAATAGGGATATGAATCCTACCCCTTAAGATGTGCCACATGGGGCTTATAACTTCTGAAATATTCCGAGTTCTGTATCCCCATCGCATCTGAGTGAGGGAAGCCTTGAGTGCCAGATTTTCTCCTCTGTCAGAAAAATGACACATTATTACAATATTTTTTTGTTGTTTCCTCATTGTTTTATTTTCCTCAAAATCTAGGCATGAATTTGTACCTTGACATATTTTCTTTAAGTGCACAGTGCACAGTCTGCTGGCCTAAATGTAGGTTTTGCTCAGCTTGTTATGGCTTAATTGTTATTTCAGGAACCTTCAACACACTTATACATTTGAACTGTGCACCTATGTGACTTTGGTGGCAAAGCTTAGGGCTTTCGACATTAGTTGTGCATGTAAAATATCAGCAAGTACTGATCCCAAATCCTTCACTGCAATTTTTTTTCACTTGTCTGGTTTCTGACCAAATACTTATGGGGCCAATCTGCTATTTGTTTCAGATACCAGGTTGGTATCAAACAACATGATGGGTCACGACAGGAGGCCGGGAGGTCGAAAGGAGCTCGGGCAAGAGCAATCAGAGCCGCCACAGATCTTGCTGCTTTTGAGAAAAAATGGAACAGTGTGAGTACATATTTGATTTGGCATGTGTACGATGTGGTATCAAAAGGTTTCCAGTCTTGTCTTAAAAAGAAAAGCAAATGGCGGCACAACACTGCATTCACAGGGGTCGAGGGCAGCAACCTTGATCTGTCATGGTGCTGAGTGGCTCAATGTGGCAATGCACAGGCGAGTTGGTGCATGATTATAACTGGTAGCAGCATGCAAAAACACACGGACAAAGGGACGAATGCACAGGACTTCGGTGTTTCCTTTTCATTAAAGATTTAGTTGAAGTTCAGCGCTCGCCTTGTGCATTTCCTCCCTTTGTCCTTGTGTTTTTGCGCGCTGCTACCAGAGGCTTAGAGCATCGCTCTGTGAGCTTGGGAGCCCCTGCTGTGCAGGTTTTTGTGACTTCATGTGCGTGCGCCTCTGCAATTTTTGCAAGTGGTTGTGGTCCTCCCGTAGCCTTTTCAATCATCTGAATATGAATTTGTTTTATTTTCAGCTCATCTGATGATCGATCGGATGCCATGAAGGTTTCTTTATAATTATGTTCTTTTACGGTTTACAATATAGTTCTTCAATTTCAAAACTGCCTCCGTTTTGTCTTGTCCCTTTTTTCAGACACACTACACTTGTTTATAAGGATTTGTCGTTATATTACGGAACTGTACTGCGCTAACTCATGATGCCAGACGTTATCTGTAACCCTCCGTAATACTACCAAGGCCGTAGCTGAGAGTTCACATTATTGTTACCGTACAGCGAGCACACAGCGATAGAAGTGCAGTACGCAAGTACGGGATTAAAGCTGCAAACTAAACTTGAGGTATGCAAGCCGTCAAGCGTTCCGACGGTATTGAAGGCGTAAGGGAAGGGTACGGTAACTGAACTGTTACCGTTACAATACGGCAATGGAAGTGCAGTATGAAAATACGGGACTGAAACCGTACCCTTCCCTTACGCCTTCAATACCGTCTGAACACTCGACGGCTTGGATACCTGGAGCTAAGTTTGCGGCTTTAGTCCTGTACTTGCGTACTGCGCTTCTACTGCTGTATGTCTGCTGTACAGAAATGATAATGTAAACTGTCAGCTACGGCTTTGGTGGTATTACGGAAGGTTACAGATAATGTCTGGCATCATGAGTTAGCGCAGTACGGTTCTGTAAAATAACGGCACTTTTTTTAACAGTGTGTTCATCGACGGTACAGCATTAAGTGCGGTGCGCGCTCCATTCGCAAAATGTTCCGAGCAAAGCCAAGAGGATGGCGTTGGGGAAAAGTATTTTCGATTTTGGGATGCAAGCCACTGCCGCCGAAGATTGGGGTCACATGGAAAGCAATGGAGCTTAAAGATATTTCAGCCGCACTCACCTTGCCGGGATCCTTACAAGCTACATGGGTCCTCAAACAGTATTCTACTCTTTCTGTCATTATTCGTGCACCTTATAACTGAGCAACAGTATCCCGATGAACGGGGGACTGTCACCATCCAAGCCCGTGCTTCTAATTAAGTTTGGGAGTTTAGAATGTAGAAGAAAGCGCGTACGAAGTTCGGGCTATGCCTACACCCAACAGCGGCGAAGCCTCTCATCCGGGACTTTCACTCCTTCTAACGCTCAAGCAAGAAGGGAAGCGCTGGGAGCCCTTTACCATTTTCTCTCTCGCCCTCTTTCAGTAAAACCGTCTATATATGGCTCTGCTCTGCTTTAGCCCTGTTGAGCACGCTTCTTACCGAGCCCTGGTGAACTGCGCAAAAGCAACACCAGTGGGAGCAAGCTCCACGGGTAAAAGTGCACTCAACGGTGCCGCAAGAACAAAAAGTATGAACTACACGAAAACGCTGTTCGAGTGAAGCGGCTTATTAATACATTGAAAAAGTAGCGGGACAACCCAAGTTTTGAAAACTGTGACCTAACGAGGAGTATTATATATCCGAGTTTGAAATATCGCGAGCCTACTGTATACACGAACTCATCTCTGTTACGTCACGGCATGGTGGTAGCGCGTCGGTCACACTTCCGGTCTGGGGCTGTGGGCAGAAGTCTGCATGCCAGACGTGTATTCCAGCGTTGTTTTGAAAGGAACCAGGCAGAAACCTGCCTTGCCAAAACGCCGCAACTGAGGCCGTACAAAAGTGTCAAGAAAGGTTTGAAGGTCAGTTTTCACGTGCTCAGTTCGTCCGAGAATCTGGATATGTGCCGAGATAAGGGAAATGCAGACGCCGTCGGACAACGATTGCTTGGGCGGGAAGCACTTTGGGTTGAATTGACGGATACTTGTGGTCATCAGATTTATTTGTTTTGTTCCAAAATGAACGCCAGAAAACCGTCAGGTTGTGCGGACTACGTTCAGTGCGCCTTCAAGTTCAAACGGCCGCATGATCGTTCGAACTGTCGTCTGCTCTTTCAAACATTTCTGTTTGTCGTCTGTTCTCTTAAACGACGCCGGCTCATAGACCAAATGTTGGCCCGGTACTTGCGATAAGAAGTAAGTGCAGGCCTTGAAAGACTTAAATTTGAAGGTTGGTAAGCAGGCTCGATATAAACAGTAGATACGAAAAATATGTTGATCATTGTTACCAGTGACCATCACCGACTTTTTAGCCCTAATTCACTTGGTCCGATTCTGCTTGCGATTTTCAGTATCGACGTCGACTATCTCAGCCACGGTTCACACTTTTGCAGCCCAAGCGGCGTCGCGACTGGGTGAAATCGCATAATGCGAATCAGGCTTTAGCGTACATACTGCAGAGTCCACGCGGAATGAAGCGCCACACGTCACATTATTCACGCGACGTTTTGCGGTGTAACGATCCTCGGTAGTTTCGCTGACGCCGCTCAAGTAGTCAGACATCGCCAGGAAGACGAAGAATCAACAATTCAAAGGCGAAAAAGTGCAGGGGGACTCACACCGACGCCGACAACATCGCATTTCAATGGTTTGTTTATGGGCGATGGCGAGCTTCTTGCCCACACCCCCATCGCGCATGCGCGGCGCCGGTGGCGTCCGCTAGGGGCGCTCCGGTTTGTTTGTAAACATAAGTTGGTGTATACACGGAGGGAGATCTGGCTCAGTTTAATGTGCTTAATATTACTGAATAGTTCTGCAATTCTAATTCGCTAGTTTTATTTCTCAAGCATCTTGTTTTATGGGGTGCTCAAATTAATGCCAATTTTTACTTTGGTTCAATTTATGAAAAGTTTGTTTTATATGTCATGTACAGTACAAAGATGGGGAGCGGGGCCAGTTGGTAAGCATGTTGCTCGCTCGCTTTAACTATATATGTAACATACAATATGTTTTGATTGTGTATTGATTTCAAATCCTCTTCTGCTCTTTATTTCAAGCTGCACTTACATGCACCATGAAGATACCGAAGAACTCTTCAACTGAAGGACAACTCAAAGCACAAGCATGGAGGGGCATCTGGATGGCCAGTGCAAGGACAACTATAATGTAAATTATCTCCAAAGTTAAAGCAAGGCATGCCTTCTTCCAATAAAGGTATTGTGGCAAGTAGGTATGACTGAGCTTCAGAAAGTCACAATATATACTCTTGTTCGTTTATTTCTAATCACGTGCTCTAGTCACCACCTCTAGTCAGTTTTAAGCTTGTTGTGGTAGTACATACATATTTGTGTTAAATTATTGGTGAGTCATTTTGACAGCCGAGTCTAGCAGCATCCTTGCTCATATGTATATGCTTCTTTTGGTTTAAATTGAAACCAAACTAAATCTGTTTTAGTACATGTACCTGACTGATTTCATCTTTGCAAGGGTAGCAAATTGCAACTAATTTCGTCTCATTATGTGCTGTGATGAAAAGGAGCTTGGTAACGGCCGTGCATTCTAGCGTTGTTGTTAATAGTGTGCAATATAGGAAGTATTCACTCGCGGCCATAGCTGTGTGCGGGACTGCTGAGCGCGTGCTGATGGCGAGCTTCCACAGTTCTTTAGAAACGTGCATTCCGCACCCTCAAGATTGCCGTCTTAGCAGCCTATCACAACAGTCGGCCATGACCGCTTGCAACAGTCGGCCATGACCGCTTGCAACAGTCGGCCATGACCGCTTGCAACAGTCATGGCCGACTGTTGCAAGCGCCGGTGAGGAAGTTTTTTTTGTTTCTGCGAAGTGCGCCGCTGTTTCCAGGTTATCGTGTACCGTGTGTTTGCTAAGCTATGCTTGATTCTAACTATGCTCTACGCGGTATTATTTCGTTATTCGAAAAGTGCGTATCTTCAAAGCTTAACGCTCTCTTCGCAGAGTGAGAAAGATTCGCGTGCGGCGGAACCGAGGGCCAGCCAAGGGCCAACCGAGGGCCTCTTCTGGGCACCGTCCTACGACGCTCGCCCGAAGAGGCTTTTGCGGAGCGTTCAAGTGTAGTCTGACGGCAGTTCAAGCAATCACAGGTTATGCTAGTTCTGACGTGTGGTTGAAACAGCTCGCCAACGATTTGTTTCATAAAGCGGGAGCGAGAAAAACGTTACAGGAGCGAGCAGGCATGATCTCTTGTCTGTAGTGATGTCTGTGCCGTAGAGACGCGCGGTTCGTTTGCTTATGCCGAAGCGGCACGCTTTCCAAGTTTACGATTGTGTGATGTAAATAAAGTGAGTTTGGATGTCACGTTTTTTTAGTGGCGGCGAAAGCTACTACTAAAAAGCAAAAGCCAAAAAAAAATGCGAAAAGGACCTGAATATTTGATGGGGTTCAAAGACTACCAACGTGCCAACTCGCCCAGTAATTCTTTGTCAAAAAATAATAGCCAATAGTAATAAATTAAATAAATGCCAACTTTTAAGTCGATACAAATTTGTAATTGATGCAGTACAGCCCTACCCTGCTCTAATGCTTTGATGATAACAGCTAATGTGTAAATATATAGGATAGTTCATAGCAACCGTTTATGTCTTACCTATTATATTAAATATTTTCTCTAAAAGCTCGAAGTTGTATATAGAAAAAGTGTTCATCATAAATTAAGCCGCACCACTGAATGGGTAATAGCGTGTGACTTGCATGCATGTTCTCAGCAAAAGAAAAGGATGCATTCAAAAAGGGCCTATCATTTTGTTTCCTCTGTGTTAGGGCTTCTTTCAGGTACACGCAAAATGTGGGTGTCTACGTCTAAAGGAGTGGAATTGACATTTCCCGCAGGACTGCAGGCCTGACTCAGTTTGGTTAGCAGGTTGCAACCTATGGAACCTGCAGGGATCTGCACAGGAGTAAAGGTGACGTCCGCCCACTGATGTCTATTATGATTGGCTGGAAGCTGCATTGAGCAGACAGGTAGGAAGCCACCGGAAGTAAGCGGCCTGTTCCGATAGCGAGCGCTTGACAGGCTTTTCAACCCTCCCGAATGCTGGTTCGAACAGCGTTAAGGGCGCTGGGTTTTGCTTGTCATCCCAAGAGAGCCTGGTTTTTGCGGTGTAAGAGTGCATGCGGACCCGAGAAGTCTCCTGAGAAGCCATTCGATGTGAAAATTTTGAGATTCTATTTTACTGAAAAGTGCGTATGTCCCACGTTCAAATGTCTTGTTTTGGGGATTTCATCCAGAGCTAATCTCTGCAGCGCACTGGCACATGCGGAGAAG